TGAGACCCTGTTAGATAATTTGTTTCCCCTCGATAATATTGGTCCGCTATTCCGAGGCAATCCTAGTTTTGCCTCGATTTGTTCCTCGGCAGGAAGTCCACATTTTACACACGACTGAGGCCCTTTTAAGGTATTTGTTTAACCTCCATAATTTGGGGATAAAGTTTGGAGGAGAGCCGTAGTTTTATATCCATTATAGCATCATGGGGTGGAATAGCTTTTGTGATCCATTGTTCACAATATCTGTGACTGGCCTTGTGGACTCCAGGGCAACATGTTTGAGAAAAAAAGAAAGAATAGATCCACTGCCACCTAAAAAGCATCTTGTAAAAGGCGACTTATTAGGACTTTGCTAAAATTGGATGTGTTGTGGCAAAAGGCGCAGATATCGCAGCCTAGCTTTAAACCACAACACAGCATACTAACCCCCCTTTTAAGGGCGAACTAAAAGAAAGAAGATTACCTACCTGTGACATGACCATTGCACATTTTGCCGCTGCTATCTCAGCCTAGCTGTAAACCACAAGACCGAGCGAAAGGCGCAGATATTGCAGCCCAGCTGTAACCACACCACAACACAACATGCCAACCACCTTTTTAAGGGGTAAAAAAATATTTACCTGGCAGGAAATCAGACACCGGTCACACGCGTGACAGGCGAAATACTTACAACTGCACTTCCGAAGACTCGAGAGTTTGGTTCACATGAAATTATATAACAATGCGAAGCATAGTTCGTAGTCTTTCTATTCAATACTTTAACTATATGACCTCTTGAGGCCCTGAATGGGATTTTTTAAACGGTGAATAATTTGAGACCGGTGTTCGGAAGAGTGCCAGAATTTTTCCCTGTGTGGGTTGCAGGGCCCCATCGTGGGGGAGAACAAGAACAGACCCACTGCCTAGTCACAAGCATGTCGTAAGAGCTGACTTATTGGGAGCTTCCTTTGAAGTAAGAGTACATCTGCCTTCGAGGCAAGAAACAACAGTCTGCGTGCACATGAGTCAGATCTGTTAAATAAATATATATTTTGTAGGCACTCGAATATATTGAATATTACATTCTCAACTGCTGTTTTTTTTGTCATACACGACCGCCTTTGCTGCCATTTTTATAAAGGGAAATTAATGCTAATGTCAGCCATGTCTGTCAAAATTCATGGCCCTGAAAGAGTTGAAAAAATTTCATGTCAGTTTTTCGCAGATCTGTTGTACATCACTAAGCCTTCCTAAGCCTATCAACCCACCATGACAGTCTCATCATTGGCATAATTTTATCATAATTATTACTCTCACATTATATCTGGGTACTTTCCATTATTTGACCCATATATATTTAAAATATACAACCACTTTAGTGTTTTTTAATGCATATGTTTAATTTTTGTGGTTAATGATATACCACTTTGAAAAATGTTTATCTGATCATTACCAAACCCATATCGTGAAATTCACCAAACAGGGTGAGTAACATTTAGTAATTAAGTTTAAATGCCTGCTATGCAACTACTGCTATACAATTTATATTTTTAAAATCTACAACCACTGCAGCCTTTTTAATTGCATCTATCATAATTATCGGTCGTTGGTGATATGCAATTTGTATGTGATCACTACCAAGTCTAGATTGTGAATCGCACCAAATGTGGCCACATTGACTACTCATATTTGGTAAGTAATTTTAAATGCATACTAAGCTTCACTTGTTGTAACAAGTAACAAATGAGACACCCAAAATACAAAAAGTACATACTCACCCACAAAGAGCAACTACAGTGGAACCTCGCTTAAAGATCATAATTCGTTCCAGAATCATTCTCGTTAAGCGAAACACTCGTTATGCGAAACAATTTTTCTCATATAAATTAATGTAAAATACGATAATGCATTCCATGTGCTATGTATAACATTTATTCAAAGGAAATTATATACATATTGTGAAGGAGAGTGAATCATCTTCAAATTTTCTTCAAACGCGGAACGAACCTACCTGGAATGCGAATTCGATTTGCAGAAAAAAGTTAAAATAATTATGATACATAGCTAATTTTTTCTTTTACTAGAAAGATGTCCAGAGACATTTGTTTTTGCCGATGCTTAAAAATTAGGCGAAAATGCGACAAAGCATTATCATTAAATGAATTTGCAACGCGCATAGCCACTTGCTTATTAGGATGATGCTTCTCAATGGAAAATGCAACAGTTTGCTATGCATTCAGCACTTCTCTTATTTCGTCAGAAGATTGTTGCTTTTCTGTTACCTTCTTCTCCTCATCTGACAAACTTTCCTCCAAAACTTTTTGCTGTGAAAGACAATGCAACTCGATGAGCTCTTGGATGGTCAGCTCTTGGCTGTGCTTTTCCACAAGCTCTTTGATATCACTGCTATCCACCTACAATCCCATGACAGTGGCCAAAGACACAATCTCGTTGACTACAGGTTCCACAGGTACTGTCTCGAACCCCTCAGTCACAAATCAACAACGCTCTCCAGCTAAAGCTTCTTCCAAGCAGAAATTAGGGTTCTCTAGGTAACCCCTTTCCCCGCCTTGTCGATCATCTTAAGGCAAGCAACGATATGGAAGTGATTTTTTTCCAAAATTCTTTGAGAGTGAGGTTGGTCCCTTCAGTCACTGAAAACAATGCTCGAAGATTGCTTTAGTGTAGAGCTTTTTAAAGTTAGAAATAACTTGCTGGTCCATAGGCTGGAGAAACGGAGTGGTTGGTGTTGGGAGGCAGAAACCGTATCTTGCTGAACTTAAATTCTTCAGGAAGGTCAACTTGTAGGCCTGGAGGATTCATGCACATATATCACAATATAACACAAGTTTGAGAAAAGGTGTGATAACAAGCGACACTATGATGCAACTGGAACGAGTGCTAAACACAGACTGACGTAACATGCTCACAATTCAGGACTTCCCCTCTCCTCGCCACTCGTTATGCGAAACGTCGCTCCATAAGCGAGTCATTTTTTTTACAAAATGTTTATGTGAATTACTCGTTATGAGAGGTGCTCGTTAAGCGAGGTTCTACTGTACTTCACAGGTGTACACACTAGCAATGATAATTGTAATCAATTTTTCAATGCATCAGATTTAGATGGCATGACATGTCAATTCTAATGACTGTAATAGATAGCATCCCAAATATTGAACACACTGCTCTTTGAAAATGTTTACAGACAAATTAAAACTAAAAGCAGAATGCACGGTGGCTAATTTGGTAAACCATATGCATTGACCTGGTGGTTTTACCGTTATAGGCTCCCAGGGAAATTGTTGCTAGATCAACAGCTCTGAACACACACACACACATTTTGGTCATTGTTAGAGATGAATGCTTAGTGCTGCCATGAAATCAAGGTTTAACAAGTCCTTCTCAGAATACTGTAATGTTGTGAATTCCCGGGAAAATCCCAGAGAGTTCCCGATGGGGAGGACAAGGTCAGAGGACCAGTGATACAAGAGAAAAATGAGATAAATGGGTCACGTGTATCCCACGGTGAGTTAAATAAGGGATACAAGAAAAGCATGGGACTGGAACGGAAGACGTGAACCGAGAGATGGGAGTAAGACAGTTGAAGTTCGGACCTGGTTGTGAGAGGTCGTGTGAATGAACGCCTGCGGAGAATGAAGGAATTGTGAATACTTGTATGTTTCAAGAGAAGATATGAATGTTTCCTACATGTCTTAATACCAAGTACAAGGTTTTTCTAGAGGATAGATGGGCGATTCGAAAGACGCTGATGGATCAAAGTAGTGTGTGAGAAGATTGACCAGGCCGTCGGAAATCAGCCAAGCAGAACGAACACAAGGACGAGAGAATGTGTGCCTATGATATGTTGTGATTCAGCGAATAAAAGCATGTAACTGAACATTCGTCTCTGCTGTGTCGTAACAACTAACGCAATTTGGAAATTTAACATTGATTCTCCTCCTTGAAGTGTCAACTGTAATCCTGGAACAGAAAACTACCTACCCAACCCTGTCACGTGATATGGCAGACATTTTTGGTGGTCCGGCTGGACTGTTTTACGGCCCACCTGCACTTGTCTGCAGCCCACTTGCACTTGTCTGCAGCCCACATGGACTTGTCCGCAGCCTACTTGCACTTGTCTGCAGCCCACTTGCACTTGTCTGCAGCCCACTTGTCCGCAGCTCACCTGCACTTGTCCGCAGCCCACCTGCACTTGTCCGCAGCACACCTGCACTTGTCTGCAGCCCACCTGCACTTGTCCGCAACCCACTTGCACTTGTCGAGCCCACTTGCAATCGTCCGCAGCCCACTTGCACTTGTTCGCAGCCCAGAACGCTGCTGTAAAGGATACTCAACTAAATAATCAACTGTATGTTCGATACTGTAATTTGTTCTTCACACTCTTGTTATTTGGAAATTTAACTTTGATTCTCCTCCTTGAAATGTCAACTGTAATCCTGGAACAGAAAACGACCTACCCAACCCTGTCATGTGATATGGCAGACATTTTTGGTGGTCCGGCTGGACTGTTTTACGGCCCACCTGCACTTGTCCGCAGCCCACCTGCACTTGTCCGCAGCCTACTTGCACTTGTCCGCAGCCTACTTGCACTTGTCCGCAGCCTACTTGCACTTGTCTGCAGCCCCACTTGCACTTGTCTGCAGACCACTTGTCCGCAGCTCACCTGCACTTGTCCGCAGCCCACCTGCACTTGTCCGCAGCACACCTGCACTCATCCGCAGCCCACTTGCACTTGTCCGCAGCCCAGAACGCTGCTGTAAAGGATACTCAACTAAATAATCAACTGTATGTTCGATACTGTAATTTGTTCTTCACACTCTTGTTTCAGTTATTGAACTGATGACAATAATTTTGCACACAGGACCAGGTGTGTGGAGGCCACTGTACTAGACCAGATCAGTGCCAGATGACAAGTGGCTTCCTTTGATCAGACCAGATCAGTGACAGATGACAAGTGGCTTCCTTTGATCAGGCCTCATAGCCACCACCTCAGCTCCACCATGGAGAACAAGCAGGTGGTTCTGGAGATTGACACACAGGAAGTCCGCAGTGCCCAGACAGCCATCAAGGGAGTCCTGGCGGCCTTCTTCTATGGCACATGCTCCTTGTCGTCAGCATTTGTCACCAAAATTCTCATGGACACCATGAAGTTTGACTTTCCTATTTTCATCATGGTCATCCAAATGTTGTTCACAGTATGTACACTAGAGCTGTTGTCCATATTTGAATTCATTGATCTGCCGGCATACACCATCAAACGAGGCCTGTCCTTCCTGGCACCAGCGGTCTTCTATGGGATGAACTCAGTGCTGGCTCTGACGGCCTTGTCTCACATGAACATTGCTATGTATGGTGTCTTGAAGCGATGTGTGCCGCTGTTCACCATGTTGTTCTCGCTTGTCATCCTCAAGAAGGATCTACCAAACAGGTTTACAATAGCTTCTGTCACTTTGCTGACTGTTGGTTGCGTGGTTGCAGGTGAGGAAAGCTCAGTTTTCTCTCTATAGTTACTTTGCTCCCATCTGGCTTGCTGTCTCTCCACAGAGTGGTCAATTGTCTGCAGTCAGCCTCACACAAGGTACAGACTCTATGGCTTCATCCCTCCTGATTTCCCCAAGAAATTGTACTCATGAATTAGATATTGCAGTCTGAACATGAACACACACTACATTCCTCGCTCCATGATTCAGTTGGTGAAACAGTTATTCCAGATCTGCAAATTTTTGGTTTGGTACTGAAACAACAGCCAAAGAAATCATGACATTTGACTAGTAGAACAGGAGAGGAAAAAGAAATTATGACAAGTGACCAGTAGAACAGGAGAGAAAACAGAAATCATGACAGTTGACCAGGAGAGGAAACATAAATCATGACAGTTGACCAGTAGAACAAGAGGGGAAACAGAAATCATGACAGTTGACTAGTAGAACAGGAGAAAAAACAGAAATCATGACAGTTGACTAGTAGAACAGGAGAGAAAACAGAAATCATGATAGGTGACTGGTAGAACAGGAGAGGAAACAGAAATCATGACAGTTGACTAGTAGAACAGGAGAGAAAACAGAAATCATGACAGTTGACTAGTAGAACAGGAGAGAAAACAGAAATCATGACAGTTGACTAGTAGAACAGGAGAGAAAACAGAAATCATGACAGTTGACTAGTAGAACAGGAGAGGAAACAGAAATCATGACAGTTGACTAGTAGAACAGGAGAGAAAACAGAAATCATGACAGTTGACTAGTAGAACAGGAGAGAAAACAGAAATCATGACAGTTGACTAGTAGAACAGGAGAGGAAACAGAAATCATGACAGTTGACCAGTAGAACAGGAGAGAAAACAGAAATCATGACAGTTGACCAGTAGAACAGGAGAGGAAACAGAAGTTATGACAAGTGACTAGTAGAACAGGAGAGAAAACAGAAATCATGACAGTTGACCAGTAGAACAGGAGAGGAAACAGAAATCATGACAGTTGACTAGTAGAACAGGAGAGAAAACAGAAATCATGACAGTTGACCAGTAGAACAGGAGAAAAAACAGAAATCATGACAGTTGACTAGTAGAACAGGAGAGAAAACAGAAATCATGATAGGTGACTAGTAGAACAGGAGAGGAAACAGAAATCATGACAGTTGACCAGTAGAACAGGAGAGAAAACAGAAATCATGACAGTTGACCAGTAGAACAGGAGAGGAAACAGAAATCATGATAGGTGACTAGTAGAACAGGAGAGAAAACAGAAATCATGACAGTTGACCAGTAGAACAGGAGAGGAAACAGAAGTTATGACAAGTGACTAGTAGAACAGGAGAGAAAACAGACATCATGATAGCTGACCAGTAGAACAGGAGAGGAAACAGAAATCATGACAGTTGACCAGTAGAACAGGAGAGAAAACAGAAATCATGTTAGGTGACCAGTAGAACAGGAGAGAAAACAGAAATCATGACAGTTGACTAGTAGAACAGGAGAGAAAACAGAAATCATGACAGTTGACCAGGAGAGGAAACAGAAATCATGACAGTTGACCAGTAGAACAGGAGAGGAAACAGAAATCATGTTAGGTGACCAGTAGAACAGGAGAGAAAACAGAAATCATGACAGTTGACTAGTAGAACAGGAGAGAAAACAGAAATCATGACAGTTGACCAGGAGAGAAAACAGAAATCATGACAGTTGACCAGTAGAACAAGAGAGGAAACAGAAATCATGACAGTTGACTAGTAGAAAAGGAGAGGAAACAGAAATCATGTTAGGTGACCAGTAGAACAGGAGAGGAAACAGAAATCATGACAGTTGACTAGTAGAACAGGAGAGAAAACAGAAATCATGTTAGGTGACCAGTAGAAAAGGAGAGGAAACAGAAATCATGATAGGTGACCAGTAGAACAGGAGAGGAAACAGAAATCATGACAGTTGACCAGTAGAACAGGAGGTACAGGTAGAGCAAATTTAGCTAGTAGAACATTGAGCTGTTTTGTGCAGGTCACATTTCTTTATTCTAACATGTGTGTGGCATTTTCCCTGCATGTTGCTTATTGTCTTAAAAATTGCCTGTTTGTATACAAGTGGTATTAATGTTATTCTAATGTCTGTCTTGACGATACTGACTTTTGCGGATGATATACTTGCATATGCTTATAGTCAGGGGGAAGAGAGGGAACAAACAGCCTGGGAGCTACAAGCGATAGTAGACAAAGTGACTGGGTGGTGTACAGAAATGAGGGCTGTCGTCCACCCGGAAAAGGCGTCTGTTTTGCGGTGTTCTCTGGACAACAGAAAGTTAAAACTAATGTCCCAAGTCTCATGATAGATGGTAGAAACGTCAACAGAGAGAGCAAACTAAAGTGTCTGGGAATTACATTTGACAGGAGCTTGTCATTTAAGGACCATGTGGAGAGTGTTGTGACGAGATGCCAAAAAGGACTTAGTGCACTTAAGACTATGGCTGCAATTGACATAGAGCAGAGAATGCTTTTCGCACTATATCAGCACCTGATCCTGTCATTGGTTGATTATGGCCTGGGACTGCTTCCAGTCTCAAAGAGTCAGATGGACAAACTAGACTGCATACAAAACACGGCAATGTGGGTCATTTTGGGTTGCACCAGAGACACCCCAGTGGTGTGTATGCGATACATTCTTGGTTTGCTGACGGTAGGCACAAGGTGCTGCAGGTGAAGTCATATATCAGGGTACCTGCAGACACAGACCACCCTCTGCGTGAAGCTCTGGGTGCAGTTAAGGGTCAGCGGCTGATAAGAGGGAGGTCATGGATGGCTCAGACAGAAGACACAATCAGACAGGTTTGCATCCTTGAGAACATTAGGTGAGGAGAGGAGTGGGTCAAAGTGCCACCTGAACAGACAGACTTGTGTAGAGTCATAATCACGCTGAGCCAGGAATGCAGAGACTGGCCAACAGGTGACACAGAGGTGGAAATTCAGCAATTAATTCAAGATATGCTCACTCAGAGGATTTGATCATATACACAGACGGTTCAGTGTCAAGAGGCAAAAGAAGTGCTTGGGGCTTCTTAGCAAAAGTTAATGGTCGCTGTTTGGTGCAGGAGAGCCTAGCATATGATACCACAACATTCAGCTTAAGAATGGGGGTTGAGGCGGTCACTGCAGCTTTCCGCTGGCTAGAGAACATGACATACACACACACACATCGTGATTGTAACTGACTCAGAAAGCATGCTGAGGAAGATCAGAACAGGTATGCTTCATGCAGAGTGGCATGCTTCACTGCGGAGGACACAGGTGAGGTGTATTGTCTGGATTTTTTCACTGGGCTGCCCCGTTGTGTTGGGAAATGAACAGGCGGGCAGACTGCCTGGCTCTGCACAACTTGGTGGAATACTGATACATGATAGGGCAGATGTGGTTAGTGCCTTGTGGGAGAGCGTGTACAGTTTAGAGGAGATGGATCACCACAGTCTGGTGAGATTGATGCAGCGGGGAGTGACGAGAGGTTCTGGCAGATGCTCGAGGCTCAGAAGAAAGGTAAGATGGATGTTTAATTAAAATGCTACTGGCACCATTAGTATCGGAACTCTTCGCTGGCTGCTGAAGATGGGGACGGAGCGCTTATGGGAATGCCCCGAGTGCTGTGATGTCGGTTCTTGAATCAAATCAAATCAATCTTGATGAGGTACAGTGTATGAGTATGTGATGTTTCACCACATGATCATTTATATGTTTTCTTTGCGAACTGTCTCTGTGCAGGCTACGGGGACCTCGGCTTCAATCTGACAGCTTACGTCTGTGGGATAGGCAGCAATTTCACCCAGGCTCTTTACCTTCTGCTGGTGCAGAGGTACTCAGAACACCACCTGCCTGTGACCCACATCCTCCAGCTGAACAGCTTCAATACTCTGCCTCTGCTTCTGCTTGCTGCTGTAGTCAACGGAGAGATGACCACTCTGGCAACTTACCCACACTGGGACCAGCTGAGCTTCTACCTGCTGTTTGCGTCCGCCGTTAGTGTTGGAATGTTATTGAATTATTCCTTGTTCTTGTGTACCAGCTTGACCAGTGCGCTGACCACCAGTGTTGTTGGTGGACTCAAGGCTCTGGTGCAGACATTGGTGGGGCTGTTCACTTTCGGCGGAGTTTCCCACAACCTGGCAACGTACACCGGAATCAGCATGAACGTGGTTGGGGGCATCGCTTACATCTGGGCCCGCTACCAGGACAACCGGTCCAGGCCAGGCCGCCTGACTAGCTTGAAGAAAGTGATGAGTTTTTCTTTTTTAAATTCTGCTGACCAGGGGAAAGAGCCTAACGGGCATATACACAGTGACCAGGACACTGCCAAACACAGACATGGCAGTTCTGGGTGTGAAAATATCCGCTTGTGACGTAGACAAGAGGATGTTGCTTTGTTAACTGTTGCTATACAATTTTATGACATAATTTTCAAATTTAAATGTCTACAATATACATATGAGGGATATCTAAACAGTGTAATTTTTTTTCATTATTTTTTTTTTAATGAAATATCTGGGGGTAATGCTGATTATGTTGTTAATTTTTGATATGGTGTCATTAAGCATATTTTTTTTTCTTCTGTTTTTGGGATTGTATTGTTTTTTCATGAGTATGTTTCCTGTGTGGGTTGCGGGGCCTCACTGTGGGGGAAACAAGAATAGGCCCACTGCCTCCCCAACAAGCTTGTCTTTTGAGTTGACTGGGGGCTTCCTTCGAAGTCAAGAGTACATCAGCCTGAGAGGCAAGGAGCCAACAGTCAGCATACAAATAAGTCACAGCTGTACAAGGGATGTGCAAACAACACTCAGGTTCTGGAACAAGACTAAAGTCCAGAGGTGGACGAACATGGGCAAAACAACCAGCACTTTCTGCCAGATTGTACAGCCAGTAAATGCGAAGAAGAAAAAGAATGCGTGTGTCATATCTTTGCTTGCCTACCTGTATCTGTGGGTTCAGAAATGAACCAAGGGGTCAAGGCACTACTGCTAGAGGTCATGTTTCCCATTTCTTAACATACCAGGTCTGGCAGTACTTATTACATTCCAGACTTATAAACAACAACCATAGATCTATTTTCTGCTCACATACTTCAATTACAGAAAATCCGAGAGCTCTCGCTTCAGGAACAGTGAATCCAGGAGCTCTCGCTTCAGAAACAGTGAATCCAAGAGCTCTCGCTTCAGGAACAGTGAATCCAGGAGCTCTCGCTTCAGGAACAGTGAATCCGAGAGCTCTCGCTTCAGGAACAGTGAATCCAGGAGCTCTCGCTTCAGGAACAGTGAATCCGAGAGCTCTCGCTTCAGGAACAGTGAATCCAGAACCTTTCGCTTCATAACAGTGAATCCGAGAGCTCTCGCTTCAGGAACAGTGAATCTAGGCCCACTCACTTTATTTACGGTTAATCCAGGAGCACTCACTTAAGGAACAGTCAATCCAGGCCCACCCACTTTAGTTACAGTTAATCCAGGAGCACTTGCTCCAGGAACAGTGAATCCAGGCCCACCCACTTTATTTACAGTTAATCCAGGAGCACTCGCTTTAGTTACAGTGAATCCAGGAGCACTCACTTTAGTTACAGTCTATCCAGGAGCACTCGCTCCAGGAACAGTGAATCCAGGCCCACCCACTTTATTTACAGTTAATCCAGGAGGACTCGCTCCAGGAACAGTGAATCCAGGAGCACCCACTTTAGTTTAAATAAATCCAGGAGCACTTGCTCAGTTACAGCTGTCCAGTAGCATATTTAAACAATAATCGTATTGTTGTACTTGGTATTCTCAACACTGGTTGGCTCACTACAGTGTCTCATTTGTCTGCTAACGTTGCTAACATGAAAGCCACACTCAGACTGGTTCCATGCAGGATCCTAGAACCTTCTTTCCTATTTGAAGGTCCGCAGACCCTTAGGGCCTTGGAACAAATTTAAGAGGTCCATGCGGCTGGCTGAGCAGTTACTATGTTGAGCTCTCATGCGGAGGACCCGTGTTCGAACCCCTATAAGGTGAAATTGTTTCAGTGCCCACCTGACAGTTGACCAGTCACAAAACAAAGGTAGACAAAGTTTATGAGTGACATCTAATGTCACTGAATTAGTTGTTAGCTAGTACAGCAGTTAATTTTGGTTAGAGGTTCAACAGTCTACACTAACATCCATTCCATTTCTCCATTTGGTTGTTATTACTGGCAGGCCAGAGATACAGTGAAACCTCGCTTACTAAGCATAATTCGTTCCAGACTCATACTTGTTAAGTATACACTCGTTATGCGAAACAATTTTTCCCATATAAAATAATGTAAAATACGATTATGCGTTCCATGTCGAAAAAAATACTCACAAAATGCTTTGTATAACGTTTATTCAAAGAAAATTATATACATGTTGTTAAGGAGAGTGAGTCATCTTCATCTTTCTTCAAATGTGGAACATACCCACCTGGAATGCAAATTTGATTTGCAGAAAAAAAGTCAAAATAATTATGATGCATAGCTAATTATTTTTTTTACTAGAAAGATGTCCAGAGACATTTATTTCTGCCGCTTCACAATTTGGCGAAAATGCGACACAGCATTATCATTAAATAAATTTGCAACGGGCATGGCCACTTTCTTATTAGGATGATGCTTCTCAATGTAAGATGCAACAGTTTGACATGCTTTCAGCATTTCTATTTTTTCGCCAGTAGATTGTTGCTTTTCTGTTACCTTCTCCTCCTCCTCTGACAAACTTTCCTCCAAAACTTCTTGCTGGGAAACACAATGCAACTCCATAAGCTCTTGGGTGGTCAGCTCTTGGCTGTGCTCTTCCACGAGCTCTTCGATATCACTGTTATCAACCTACAATCATATGATAGTGGCCAAAAGATACAATCTCGTTGACTACAGGTTTCACAGGTACAGTCTCGAACCCCTCAAAGCCACAAATCAACAACGGCCAAAGCTTCTTCCAAGGAGAAGTTAGGGTTCTCTTGGTAAACCCTTTCCCCTCCTTGTCGATCTTCTTGAGGCAGGCAACGATGTGGAAGTGATTTTTCCAAAAACTTTTTGAGAGTGAGGCTGGTCCCTTCAGTCACCTGAAAACAATGCTCGAAGAGTGCTTTAGTGTAGAGCTTCTTAAAGTTGGAAATAACTTGCTGGTCCATGGGCTGGCCCTGGCGGAGACGGACTTTTCTTCAAAAATGACCTTGGCTCCCAGGTCGACCCAGCCTTGTGTGGGTACCGGGTGCAATCCCGGGAAGTAGAGGCGGCCGGCATGATGCTGACCACATCAACCATCTTGTGCCGTTGGTCTATAAAAATATAGGTCTAGCCCTATATGCCCTATACACCTAAAGGTGTGGAAAGGGTCCTTTACTTTTTTACTTTTTACCATGGGCTGGAGTAATGGATTGGTGTTGGGAGGCAGAAATTGGATCTTGATGAACTTAAATTATTCAAAAAAGGTCATCTTGTAGGCCTGGAGGTTTCATGTACATATATTACAATTTAACACAAGTTTGAGAAAATGTGTGATCACAAGCGCACAATTCACGACCTCCCATCTCCCCTCCACTCGTTATGCAAAATGTCACTCGTTAAGCAAGTCATTTTTTTAAACAATTTGTTTTGCTCGTTATGCGAATTACTCTTTATGAGAGGTGCTCGTTAAGCGAGGTTGTACTGTAATCTGTTCATGCACATTGCAAGTCCTACAGATGTTTATGTTCCAGGCTGGAAGAGAACAAGCACGTACCCGACATTGTTACATCATTAAGCTGAAGGTTTTTTTTTGGTGGCCCACAGGGACTTTTCTGTGACCCACCAGTTGGCCATGGCCCACAGTTTGAAGAACAATGGTCTGTAGTACTCTAGCACAGAATGAGACATGACGTACAGTTTGAAGAACAATGGTCTGTAGTACTCTAGCACATAATGAGTCATGATGTACAGTTTGAAGAACAATGGTTTGTAGTACTCTAGCACAGAATGAGACATGATGTACAGTTTGAAGAACAATGATTTGTAGTACTCTAGCACATAATGAGACATGATGTACAGTTTGTCTGTAGTACTCTAGCACTGAATGAGACATGACGTACAGTTTGAAGAACAATGGTTTGTAGTAATCTAGCACAGAATGAGACATGATGTACAGTTTGAAGAACAATGTTCTGTAGTACTCTAGCACAGAATGAGACAAGACGTACAGTTTGAAGAACAAATTTCTGTAGTACTCTAGCACAGAATGAGACATGACGTACAGTTTGAAGAACAATGGTCTGTAGTACTCTGGCACAGAATGAGAGTACAGTTTACCAACAATAGATGTTACAATGAAACCGTATGAACACAAATTCCATATAATCAGAAATCGACTTTGTATAAACATTAAATGTTTTCAGATGAATTAGGCACATAAGGCTAGACTTCTGTTGTATAAACCAGTGGACACTGGGTGGGTGTTGTGGTCAGCATTACTCTAGGCGTCTTTACAAGGTCATGTTTGAACAAAGTGGCTCCATCAGGACCTGAATCTACAACCTTTAGATCGGCAGGCAAGCGTCTAGTCGCTGCATCACAGCAGCCCCCAAAACCTACATGCTAGGATGAAAGCTGTGTTAATATTAACTGAATGTTCTCTTGAAGCAAATTTGTGTTAATAACGTTTTACAGTATAACTGTCTACTTCGAATGCCAAGCCAAGGTAAATGAATGTTAATTGTTTGGGTATCAGTCCAATAGATGCCGTCTCCACATGAAGGTCGGCTGGTAAATGAATGTTAATTGTTTGGGTATCAGTCAATCAGATGCCGTCTCCACATGAAGGTCGCCTGGTAAATGAATGTTAATTGTTTGGGTACAGTCCAATAGATGCCGTCTGCACTTGATGTTGTCCTCCCGCTTGTATCATTGCCTGTGATCATTGCTCAAGCCTGAAGCAGCTTGTTTTGTACATTGATGTCAGTTGTGGATGTTTTGGCTCAGTCAGGATTGTACACTGTTTGGTTAAAAGGTTAAAGGTCAAGAGGATCAACTTTATGCAACAGGTTTGATCAGGCTCAGTCTCCATAGAATAGCTAGCTGCCTGCTGAGAGCAGCACACAAAGCACGAACATCATAGCTCGGGTGAGGATCACCAGGGGTCTGTGCAAAAATGTTACCTGTAAATCAAATGATGCAGCTGTAAAACAAAGCCATAACCTTCAGAGTGCGCAGGAGACGGCTTGACTACTTCCCCCACACATAGACCTGGATTACACATTGTTTTCCTTTTCATTGTTTGAGTGTGAAGTTGATGTAACAGTTTAATTCAGCTTTTAAAAAAAAACAGTTGTACACGCAATAATAATTCAAATCTGATGCAAGTTTGCTGGAGCTAAATTGACCTGCAAAC